CATCTTCTGCTTTTTTTATTTTTCGCCCAAAATCCTCCTGTTGGGGGACGCCCGACTCAAAACTAATACCATCGTTCCCTCGTCCTGTGGCGCGGTGTGTCATGCACCGCTTCGCGGCTTCCCAGGCACGACCCCACTCAAACGCGGGGGTTTGAGCGCAGCAGAGAACGTGAGGCTTTGGGTGTGCGGTGCCTGGGGGTTGGTGGGATCTCTCTCCTACTCCTCGGTCTTCCTCTCCCGCTCCTCGGCCCCTCGGGGGCCTCAAGTTATGATGTGGCCTTGATGACCAGAAAGAATCTCGAGTACCAAGGAAGTACCGAAACTGGAGGGTTTTCACGTGTCGGGCCCTGGGAGGCCATACTCGTTCGACCCTTTGTCGATACTTTTCTGGGCACTCGGAATTATTTCTGGGACGTGGTCCTGAAGTGCGAGGGGAGCAACATGAGTCTCAAGTCTGTTGTCCAGGCCTCACCCTCCCAGAGGCCCTCCCAGGCCCGTGTTCTCTTCCCCCGCTGCTGCGTGCGGGGAGGCAGCGAGGCGCATCCTGCGACACAGGGGCGTGGCGCGCCTGTCGTGGCCCAGAAAATAATGTCATGCTTTCTTTCACATTGACGCGTTTAAGGGGGCATACAGTGCAGACCCATGCCAAGAAACACCCTGCTTGCCTCTAGGGTGCTGGGTTTCTTGGGTTTCGATGGTTTTGCCATGGGGAGCGCGACGCTCCCGCACCAAACATCAATAGACGTCCTGGGGTTCCAGGTCTGGGTTTCTTGTGGAAGGATTCTTGTGGACAGGCCTCCACTATATCATATTGTCTTTCAGTTTGACGCGTTTAAGGGGGCATAACTAAGGCCAGGTTCGCCGGGCTGGGGCTTGGGCCGTGATGCGTCGTATCACTTGATTTGGTCTGTTTCGCACCAGAGGGTTGGGGGCCTCTCTTGGTGCTAATGCGAGAGTGTGTGGGCCTGCGTGAGCTGTCCGCTTGCGGTCCGCGTCGGCCTAGCGTAAGGTTCGCCGCCCTGGTGGCCGCGCGTGTCCTCTGTAAACTGCCCGCTGGGTGTCCGCGTTGACCGTGTAAGGTTTTCGGCTGACGGGTCAGATCGACTTTGAGGTCAGCCGTGTAAACATCACCGCAGCTGCCCTGTCACACTGGTGCCTGTGGACACGCTGCCGCAACTGTTGTGTTCTTCAGCGGTCCCGCCGAGAGCTTTCTGGTGGCCTGTTGCATCTGATCCTTCAGCGGTTGCGCCGAGAGATTTCTGGGGGCGGGCTGATCCCTAGCGGCTCTGGAAGATACGAAATCTCCGACATCGTATCCGTCTGCAGGTGAGGGGTCCGTAGTCAGCTGGGCCCAAGTTGCGAGTCGTTACCAAACCCCCCGCCCGGAACGGCGGCAGTGGCTTGGCTTGTCTGGGGTGGTCGGCCGTGCGCTGTACTCCATCTGGTTGCAGCGGCCTACCTGTGCACGCCCCGTTGTCGGGGCTCGCTGCCGCGGGCCCCTCGGCAGTAGCTGAGGGCTTGGGCCTCGCCCAGGTCGGCGGTTCCTCTGGTCGGCGGCTTGCCCTTGGGGCTCGTCAGCTGTAGCTGGGGCCTGGGCCTCCTTCCAATCGGGGTTCCTCCGGAGGCCGGGTTGCCCTCGGTGGCTGGCCGGTCTCCCGGTGGCCTTGGCAGGCATGCTTCTGCAGGCATCGGGTGGGCGAGCCTCGGGCCAGTCCCCACGTAGGGCCCGAGACGCCTCCAGCGCGAGCAGCATGCTGCTTGCGCCCGCGGGCTCGGCGCAGTTATGCTAGACCCGCGCCGAGGTGCATCATGCACCTCTGCGCGGTTTCCCAGGGAGCTGTCTATGGTAGCCTTAAGTTGGGCATGTCCCTCTACAGGGGGAATATGGGAGACTAGTGAGAGAATAGTCTGTGGACGATTTGTTGGTTATTTGTTTCACAAGTTTTGAATCTGTTTTGGTTGGTTTTTATTTTTCGTCCAAACTCCGCCTGCAGGAGGACACGCCCGACCTAACTGTAGCCGTGCAGGCCTCCAGCGGGTTCGGGCCGTCGGCGTGCGAGCGACGGGCGACGCGGGACAGCGGGGGTCGGTGGCCCGTCCACGGGCGCTCCCAGCGAGGAGCGCAGGGCAGCGCGCGAGTGGGCAGGCGAGTCGGCGGGCCGCGCCGCTCCTGGTCAGTGTCCGTGCCGGGCGTCTGCGATTCGCGAGGGTTATTCACGAATGGACTCCGCCACAAACAAGTAGCCTGGCGAAGGACCCAGCCATCTGGAGTTGTGAATGCCGTCGTTGTTAGTTTCTTCTTCGGTGGATCTCCTTATGGGGCCACGAAGCGCGCGAAGAGTGTGCCGAATTGGGGCGGGGCCGCCATGCGGGCCTGCTACTGGGGCCTGCTGCTACGCGGGCGTGACCAAGTTAATTGCCAGCATACTTCGATCGGCGATACGTTCCGCGACGGGGGTATAGGAGAAGCAGGGCGGAACTCCAGATGGGGCCACGGAACGAGTGAGGGGTGTGCCAAAATAGGGCGGCGCCGCCATGCCGACTGCGCCACTGGGACCTTAGGTGGAGCTCCTTATGCGGCCACGAAACGTGTGAGGGGTGTGCCAAAATCGGGCGGCGCTGCCATGCGGACTGTGCCACTGGGACCTTAGGTGGAGCTCCCTATGGGGCCACGAAGCGTGTGATGGGTGTACCAAAATGGGGCGGCTACGCCATGCGGACTGCGCCACTGGTACCTTGGGTAGAGCTCCCTATGGGGCCACGAAAGCGTGTGACGGGTGTGACGAAGACGATGACGATGATGGCGATGATGACGATGATGGTGATGACGATAATGGTGATGATGATAGCCATGCTGATGATGATGATGATGCTGATGATGATGATGCTGCTGCTGCTGATGCTGATTACGGCCATGTGGTGGATGATGACGACGATCACGATGACGATCTTGATCATGATGATGGGAGGAGGGAGGGAGGAGGGGGAGAGGAGGAGGAGGAGGAGGAGGAGGAGGAGGAGGAGGAGGAGGAGAAGGAGGAGGAGGAGGAGAAGGAGGAGGAAGAGGAGGAGGAGGAGGAGGAGGAGGAGGAGGAGGAGGAGGAGGAGGAGGAGGAAGGACGCGCGGCGCTGTCTCTTCAAAACGAGGACCCAACACCACAGGATGGTTGGGAAATACACCGACACCCTCCAATGGATTGTTCCTGGGCCTCAGGGCAGGGTGGCGGCGTATAAATCACCGCTGAGGGCCAACCACTTAATACACCCCACCTTCCGTGAGGGTACATGCAAATTTCATCGGACTCTCTCTCTCTCTCTCTCTCTCTCTAGATATATATACAGATGTATGTGCATGTACATATTATATATATATATATATAGATATGCGGCCCACTGACGCACCAGGGTCGGCACCGACGTTTCCACGTTCAGTCGTGGTCATGGCCACCGTTTCTTTCCCTCCGCACACGTCGGACGTGGTGCGGCGCAATGTCGCCTTACATGCCGGCAGGACAGAAATTGTATCGGCGTGCCTAGGGCGGGTGCTGCGTCTGCGGGGGAAACCCAGCACGGGCCACTGATCGAGGTTTCGCTGGCAGAGGTGCCGACGGAGTCTCGCCGATGGGAGCGGCCAGCATAAGCGGCATTCTGCCAGCCTGCCTCTGCTCTGTTACAGTTACATTTAGGTGCTGGGATGACTGGTTCATGGAACGTGGCCCAGTGCTCCGCACCCTCATTTTTTCTTCTCTGCCTCCTTGCAACTGTGGTCGTCCAACCAGTCTGTTACCTAAGTGATACTTTGGCAACGGCCTTGAGCCAGGTATAGGGAGAGCAGCGATCAGGTTTCTGTTTCCCCCCCTCGACTCTGAGGGAATGTCCCAGTGGGTGACATAGCATGCCTGCCTATTCTGCTGCCGTCCCGGCTCAAATTCTGCGTCGCCCTATCTGCCAACGTTGACGGCGCCGCCTGCACTCGAGCTGCGGCGCCGGGAATGAAAAAGGGCCCTTTTCACCTCCCGTCGCCATCCCTATTCGCACCATTGTTTTCCGTTCCTATACAGACATGGAGTGTTCCTCTTGCTTCGGGCCCGTGTCGGGGGCCTCTTGGGCCGTTCTGGGGCCATCGTGGAGGCCTCTTGGGCGATTTGGGGGCGATGTTTGGGGCTCTTGGGCCGTTTCGGGCCGCCGAAAGGCCGACGAGAAGCAAATGCCCAAATCTTTCGAACACTTAAGGGCAATCCGTGATTTTGTTCTCGGGCCTTCTGGAGGCCCTCCTGCAGGCCTCTCGGGCCGTCTCGGAGACCTCTATGGGGCCTTTTTGTACCGTCTTGGGCCGTCTTGGCGGGCTCCTGGGCCGCCTGACGCCGAGCCTCTCTGGGCCGACTTGGGGCCTCTTAGGGTGCTTCAAGGCCGTCTCGAAGGCCTTCTTGGGTGTCTTGGAGGCCTCTTGGGCCGTCCTGGGGCCATTTTGGGGCCGTCTTGGGAGCCTCTTGTGCCGTTGCGGGGCCATCATGGACCATGGAGGCCTCTTGAGCGATTTTGGGGCGATCTTTGGGGGCTCTTGGGCCGTCTTGGGCCGCCGGAAGGCCGAAGCGAAGCAAATGCTAAAATCTTTCGAGCGCGAAAGGGAAATCAATGATTTTAGTTTTTCGGGCCTTCCGGCAAGACCTGTTGGGGAGGCCTCTTGGACCGTCTTGGGCGCCTCTTGGGCGCCTCTTGAGCCAAATGCCGCCATCTTAAGATCATATTGAGCCGCGTTGGTGGCTTATCGGGCAATCTTGGAGGCATCTTGGACGCTCTTGGTGTGGGCACGACGGGTTCAGGCGGCCATCGCAAGATGTACTGAAATGGATGCCTTTGCACTCAACGCACACAGAATGGCTTGAGCCAAAGCGTCAGTCACGGCGCTGTGCACAAGCAAGCATACAACAGACACAAACACAGAAAAGCACGGATAGTCAGGACGAGAGGGAGCCATATGATTCCACAGCTCCCCCCACTTACTGTCGGCCTGACTCCTCGAGGCGGCGCTCGCGATCCTGTAGATAGCGGCGGCTGGCCTCTCGACTGCGCCGGCCCTTCTCACCACCGGCCAAGAGGTGAGCCCTCTCCGACTCAGCATCACTCAACGTCAAAGTCCCACGGCGAATCATGTGACCCATGGCATCGGACCCCTTGGACACATCAGCCTTGGTCATCACATCAGTGGGATTGAGCAGGTGAGGAAACCACTTCACGCACGAGCCCCGCTGGGAGAAAGAGTCACGAGCAATTGCGAGGTCCACGGAAGTCCTGCGGTCCTCCTTCCGGCCAGCACAGTTCTTGGAGAGACAGTCGAAGATGGACTTGGCGTCCGTGGCATGAACTCCAGGCAAGGGTCGGTGCAACTCGCAGTTGTCACGTAACACCGACACGTAGGGGCCTGCGTGCTGTCGCCAGTCGGCAGTAGGAACGTCCCCAAAGCAAGCGTCACGAAGTAGCAGCTGGATCCAGTCGGCTTCTCCAAGAGACTGGCAGAGAGAGTTGGCCTCACCGGCCAGGGATGAGTTGGCAGCTCGACGCATCTTGGAGGATCTCCAGGAAAGCATCGTCACCTTGCTGGTCAGTCCGGCGGCCAGCTGAGGGTCAGCCACTCCCACAGCCCAGGCACACTGTATGGGTGAGTCCGTGCCAATCCCCGCCGCGTCGCTCAAAGTAAAACTCACCACCTGCGATAGGTCGTGGCGCCAGATGGTCAGGTACTGCGAGGCGGTGTCACGCAGCATCTGGACGGCCCGATTGAAAACAACGATGTCCTCCACCACCGCCTGCTCCAGCTTGCTGGCGAGTATGGAAGCCGTGCCCGCCACCTCGGGACGGGTCTCCTTCGCCACCCAGTTGATCCGGTAGATGCCGGATCGGAGCTGCTCGAACTCTGAGCGGCTCAGAGGCTCTTGTCTCTTGGAGCGGCGGCCCTTCTCCAAGACAATCGGATGAATCTCCTCCAATATATATTTCTCCTGGTCCAGGCGAATGCGGTGAGCCTCCTTCCTGATGCGGCGTCCTGCAAACTCGGCCTCGTCGCCTCTCCACTTGCCGAAAGTGAACCTGGCCTTGAGAGAGTCGGCCAACCACTTCGTGTGAGAGGTAACTGTACCCAGCCAAAGATCGTCCACCTCTATCAGGACCTGAGCCTTCAGGGCGCCCTGTTCCCGGAGGGTCCAGTAGCATGGCTCCATCAGCAACTTCTTGAAGCCAAGGTCGCGTAGGTAGGAGGTGATCGTGGCGTGCCATTCCCAAGGGGCGTCGTCTAGACCATAGACGGCGACATGTAGCTCAATCAGGCACCCGTCGGGAACGTGAATGCCAGTGAACCCCTCACAGGGAGCCACGTAGATGGGTCCACCAGCCCTGCGGAGTCGCCTCGACTGACTGAAGGCGTTCTTGCAGTCCACGATGCTCTGGTCCATGCCATGGCCTAAGAGTACCAGCCCGAAAAGCATCATGGCCTCAGACTGAGGCGTCGGAGAATATGTCACTAGATGCTCAGTGTCAGGATCTGCAAAACCGTGCACGCACCATCTGCTCTTGGCCTTTGGGGCACTGAACGTACCCTCCTGGGCCTTCCATCGGCGTACCATTCTGGACGATAGCACCCGCTCTGGCCGGGTGCGAAGCACATGAGTGGACTCCTCCTTGCTGAGGATCCGCAGCACGTTAGGCTTGTTGAGTACGCCCCACTCGGCCTCGTCCGATCGTCGGAAATCCTCGAGCTCCTGGGCCGAGAGATCCTTGAGCTTGACCTCCCCACCGCGTGAGGAGAGCAGAGACCACTGCCCGGCGCTGTCCTCTGAGCACTCGAAGATCAGATCCTTCCGGCCGTTCATGTAGGTCTCGACGTCCCCGCTCCAGCCGGAGTCCTCGAACCAAGAGTCCAGCACCTCGCAGTAGCCCTCGAGAGCACTGAAGCCGGTCTCGTCCATCGGGGTCTCCGACCCCGTCTCCAGGGGCCCGGCCTGAGAAGAGACTGCAGCACTGCTCTGCTGAGACCGCCAGTTCTCGAACTCCTGGATTTGGGTGCGAACCCGACCCTCGGCCCTTGGCAGGAGCTCCATGGGTGTCGGTAGGCCAGAACCCCTGAGCTGTTCGTCGGTAGGAGCCCCTCCGGTCGCGGACCGGAGTGTGTCAGGATCCAGCCTGGCTCGCTTGAACTCCAGGTCGTCCTCAGACAGAGAAGGTCGTCTCGACGATGCCCGCGAGCCGCCAGCTGTGGCCACCGCCTGTGAGCCTGTCTCCGATCCGGCAGGTGTCGAGCCAGTCTGAGACACGGGAGGTGTTGGCTCGGCGGCTGGCTCCCTCTGAGGTCTGGCTGCGGCTGAGACAGCACCGCCCTGTCCGAGAGCTCCTGCAGGGTCCGCTGGAGCAGGATCTGACTCCTCGTGCTCTGGCACAGGTATCAGACGAGTCACTGGACCGGGGGCCCAGACGAGTCGCGGTCTAGGCCTCGCGCCGGCAGCCTGGGTCGGAGGTCGCAGTCCCGGTGGGGGAGCAGGAGGCTCAGCAGCTACTTGAGCCACAGTATCTGCGATAGCCGGAGTCGGAGCTGGAGTGGAGTGGGAGCTGGAGTCGGGAGCTGGAGTGGGGACCTCTGGAGCCTCGATGTTGTTGGAGCCCATGTTGGAGTCCCGAGAGCCCCCTTGGTGGCCTGGAACCTCGTTGGAGCCTGCTGGTGCTATGGTTACTGGAGACGCGTTACCCTCGGAGCTGATGGGAGTCATGGTGGCCTCTGGTGGTGGTGGTCCCTCTTGAGCAACGTCTAGAGCCCCACCCGAGATCCCCTTAGCAAGCTGCTCGTCCAAGACGTCCCGATAGCACGTGGTCTGGATAAGCTCGGCCCCGAGGGACTCTGACTGCGTAGCAGGTCGTATCTGTTCACAACTGCATTTCCACAAACGACTGCGCACACACACCCACACTGTTGTTCCATGATGAAATATCACTGCACCTGGCCCAACCCACCGATCCCGTTGCAAACCGTATGGTTTGCGCCCTGTCTTGGGCGCTCGCCTCCAGATGTATACCCAATCCCCTGGTCGGTAGGTCCTGTCCCTGTGCCACGCTGATCCCAACGCATGCTGCAACTTCCTACGCGCATCTCCTTCCATCGCAAGCTGTCGGGCACGAGACCGGATCTCGTGTTGATGTCGGAAAGCCGCCGCCGCACTGTCAAGATCGGCACTCGGTTCCTCGAGATCGTGAAGTCCTATGTGGTCTAACGGGTCCTCGCTGAGCAGCTCCTGTGGTACCCTGGGGTTTTGCCCAAATACTAGCTGCAGTGGTGAATACCCGCCTCGATTCAGGAAACGATTCCGCCAGGCAGCCAATTCGCAGGCCGCCAGCTCTAGGTCGTCGGGGCCCTCCAGGATGGCATCGTCCACGAACCGCTGGAGCCGCTCCTTCAACCATTGACCCGCCCGCTCTGTCTTCCCGTTTTGCCAAGGGCTGTCCGCGTCGGTGGTGTGCTGGAACACCCCTTGTTGCTCCAAGTGTCTGCTAAACTCAGCCTCGAATTCCTTCCCGCCGTCGGATACGAGGACCTCTGGAGGTCCGTAATGTCGGATCCATCCCCGTGAGAAGGCTTTCCACACTGCTGCTGGCTGCGAACATCTCCCGGGTCCCACAATCCCTACCCACTGTAGCGAGGTCCCCAGGCATACGGCATTCAGAAACGTGTACTCCCGGTGCTGATACGTCACAAAGAAAAGGTCTACTCCAATCAGCTTGTTGAATGAGAATGTCCGAGCAACTGTTGCCTTTCGCTGAGGAATCGACTTGCCGGCACCCTCGCAGGACTGGCACACGAAGTGATGCTGAACGTAGCGCAGTATCTCTGGCCGAGCGTGAGCACACCGAAGGATACGAAGCAGGTCTCTCTTGGTGGGATGACCAAGATTAATATGTGCCTTCTCCACCTGCCGAATCTGCTCCTGAGTCAACGGGCAGTCCTGCTGCTGCTGCTGCTCATCCTCCTCCTCCTCGTCCTCAGAGTTGTCCTGCTCGGGGCCCTCCACCTGAGACTGGGTCGGTCGTTCCTGTCGACGTGTCGCCAGCACCCCGCTTGGAAAGCTCTCGTCGGTTCCCAGCTGCTGAAGCTCTGCGGATCGGTGAACCGCGTGGGCTATAGTCTTGCAGAACTTAGTAGGATAGCATGCCGCGCGTCGTGGCAGACCGCCTCCCTCCAGCACCAGATGTCGGTGGTCCCCGGCACACCGTTTTCCCAAGAGAGCCCTGTAAACTTCACAGTCGTTGGAAACCACAGTGGCTGGCTTCTTGGAAATCGTGCCAGGCCTAACCGAGAGCCCAAACCTGCACATGTCAAACATGATCCTGGACACGCCCGGGAGCTCCAGAAGCCTCTGAGTACTGGGAAGAGCCCAAGAGGTCGCGGTAGTAGGTTGTTCCAGAGCGAACTTGCGACCGCCCGTGATCTGAAGCTCGATTATCTCCATTGCATACGCCCACAGGTCCAATGCTTCTCCACGCGCTCGGGCCATCTCGACCGGGTCTCGCCGCTCATCGTTGACTGCGTTGATGGCGGCGAATTCAGTGCAGGGAGGACTGAGAAATACCAACCATGGACGCCACTTCTTGATCAACTGCTTTCCTAGCTCCCGGTGATCCGTACGTCGGAAATCCCAGCCCGTGGTTAAGTCTAAGCTGCCACCGGTCGGAGAGCCCCTGGAGCCCAGCTGAGAGGAGACCTTTGCCGTGCGAGGAGGTGAGAAAACTTCAACAAACTCGTATCCCCAGGAGTCGGATCCCGATACTCTTCCAAGACCTCGGAGACCCTGACGAAGACGACGCCTACTCCTCTGGTCAACCCTGAACTGGTGAGTGTAGTTGTCCAGGCCCGTTAGATTAGCTAGCGTGTCGTCGGAGTCGTGATGTAGCTCGGAGCCGCGTAGCGTCGTGATAGACAGGTAGCTCTGGAGTGGGACAACGTAGTAGGACCCCGCACCCGCAGACCCGCCTTCAGTAGAGTTGGGTCTACCCTGCGAGGTGGATGTGGAGGTGCTGACCCAGAGTCGGTATCGCCCGTCGTCGGACTCACACTGCCAGGCAGGAACAGAGGAGAGGTTGAGACGAGATGAGGAAGAAGATAGAGGGCCTTCGCTTTTCTCCAAAGCCTCCTGATCGATCCGGTAGCACCGGCCGTTGGCCCTGGCCTGCTCCAGAACAGCGCTGGCCTCTCTGTGTAAACTGCGAGAGGTAGGGATTCGAAGCCAGCACTCCTGTCGAGACTTGTCGCCAAGTAGTCGCAGCACGCCGCTCTCTCTCAGTTGCCCCTCATGTCGGTGTCCGCCGGGACCTCCTCCACCATGGTGAACCCGAGGTTTGGCAGTACCCCGGTGGTCGTCGGTGGCGGACCGGTTGGCGGTGTCGGCGAGCTGGAGTCCGCACTCCCGCCTGCTGCTGGAGACTCTGACGCCATCTGCTGCATCGTGGCCACCATGTGCGAGAGCGTCACGGACTGCTCGCGTATCGCTGCTGTCATCGGCCCCGTGGATGCCGTCATCGCCTCGGCCACTGCTGCCGACAGGCCTCGCACCATCTCTGAGGCCCACGGTGGCGGAGGCTCCTGGTTGAAGCTCGACCAGGTGTTCTCGTCGTTCGGCGCCGACGCCACGCGTCGACTCGGAGCCGGAGCTGCGCCATCCCGCATCGCCGAGCCTGCCGAGCTCAGGGGCCTGACGTCGCGCGGGAGCTGCTGCTTGAGCTTCCTCATCTCCGATGCCGTCATCTGTCGGTGGCCGTCCCCGCGGTGCCCGATCTCTCGAAAGGACGTCCTCACCTTGCACTTGTTGCACTGCTCCCAGTTCCCGTACTGGTTGTAGGAGGTCACGAACCACCTGGGGCGGTGCACGCAGAGCGTCCAAGGCACCGACCCGTCCGCCAAGGGAGCCGTCATCGGAACCCGGTACTCGTAGAGGTCGTTCACCAGCCTGGGGTCCTCCACCATCCTCCGACGAAGCTCCTTTCCCGGGAAGAGTCTCCCGCGCCTGTTCAGAGCAAAGAACTTGTCCATGAGGGTCTGTGTCCACATCAGTCCGGCATGCAGCAGCCTGATCCACTGGATCTTGACCCTCTCTGAGATGTCCAAGTCTGGGCGGCTCCGCATCGACTTGAGGCGGATCTCGCGGTGAGCTTGGTGGTTGTGCCTGGCTCGATGTTTGAGCCAAAACAGCTACGGGGTTGGAGATGTGGCGGGAGTCGTGGTTGGAGGAAGGCATCGCAGGTTTCGAACTGCTGTAGTCGGTATGCAGGCTCCCGGGATCTCTCTGAGGTGCGGGGGCTCCTGTGGTGCCGTTTCTCTCCTTCTGAGGCCTGGAGGGATCCTTCCAAGAGAGTACGTCTTTTTTTCAGTCGGGGCTCGGAAGGCGTCCGAGCTGAGGCCGGCTGGCAAGGCGCGCGAGCTGGGAGAGAAGCTGCTCTCCGTCCCGCGCCAGTCGTTGATGTAGATCCCCCGGTGGTTCTTCCCGATCCGGTGGAGCTCAGTCTCACAGTCCAACTTCTTCAGAATGAGAAGGTCCTTCTCGTAGTCCAGCACTGCGCCGAACTGCTCGAGAAACCCGCCTGGTAAGAGTGGCGGCAGGTCCTCCTTCGTCACCACGAACTCGACGGTCCCGCTCTTGCCACCGATGGAGATGGGCACCACGGCGACTCCGACCAGCGTGGCCGATCCGCCGATACCCCGAGGTGTCTGGACGCTCTTCTCGATCCAGTTGATCCGCAGGCCTCGTTGCTGCAGATCTCCCTCGAGCTCCTTCAAAGCCCGGCGGCCTATGATCGCCTGGGAGGCGCCGCTGTCCACGATGATCAGGCCGCCCTCGAGAATCAGCAGCGAGAGCTCCGTAGTCTCCGAGCTGATGATCTCCCTGAGGGTCGCCAGCACCTCCCTGCCCAGGACCGTGATGCCGTCGAGGTTGAAGTCCTGGTCGTCGCCCGCGCCGATCGCTGCGAACGTGAAGGCCTCGATCTCGGCCCCTCCAGACCGAGGTTTGCCTTTGCCATCTCGCTCTCTGGGACGATGAGGATTCTTGCACTCTTTGTGCCAGTGCCCTACTTCTCCACAGTTGCCGCACTTCGTGATCAACTTCAGCTGTGATGGAGTGAGCCGGCGCTTCTTCTTCCAGAAGCCCCGATCCCGCTTGAGCGCCGTCTTCAGCTGCTGGTTCTCCTTCCACGTCTTCTTGGTCTTGCCGATCTGTGCCAAGGTCTCGACCACCTCTGGCTCCGCGAGGCTCTTCTCGGAGAGCTCGACGAGCACCATGACCTCGTCCTCCGAGTCCAGCTCGTCGGCCCAGTACGACCACTCGTAGATCGGCTCCTCGACCGGCCCGATCTCTGCCCGCTGGATCTCGGGAGTTGGCAGCGCCTCCTCCGATCCCATACTCAGTAGCGATGATTGTTTGCCGTCGCTCCAGATCTTCCCTCCGGTGTCCAGCTTGGGCAGCGCCCAGAGGATGTCCTCACCTAGCATCGAGCCCTTCGTCAGGCTCTTGAGGTTCTGTCTGCCCTGCTCGTTGAGACGAGCTCCTTGCATCAGCAGCATGCCCTGGATCTTCTGCGGGATCTCCATCCCGATACTCTTCGCCTTGTCGAATTGACGTCGGCGTCGCTCCGCGAAGGTGTGCAGGTCCTCATCCTTCTTCCTCTCCGTGTCCTGCATGGCCTCGCTGCCCGTCCGGTAGAGGTCGTCGTCCTCGCGCTCGCCGGACTTGAGGCCCATCCTCTTCAGTATGAGCTCGACCGTCAGCTCGCTATCCGGGACGTCCTCGAGGGTCGCCCGGATCTCCCAGGGCAGGATCTCTAGCAGTCTGTCTGCTGCCTGAGCCTCGCTCAAGTTCAGGCCGTTCTTCCAGCGCTGCACGTACTGCTTCCACAGCCTGAATCTCTCCCAGCCTGGCCAGGATGGTGCTGGCCTGGGTTGGGTCCACTGGCCCTGCCACCAGCCGCGGTCGTGCTGCCACGTGCTGCCTTGACTACCCCAGCTCTGCCACGAGTAGTCTTGATCCCAGGTCTGTTGTCGCCCGGGTCTGTCTCTCCACTCCTTCCAGGTGTCTGATGCCCTCATGGATGGTGGTGTTTGCTTGTCCTCTTCTGCCCGCGCATCCTTCGCTCTCCACTCCTCTCGCCACGGATCCTGCTCCGTCCAGGGGTCGTCGACCACGCTCCAGCCTGCTTCGTGAGATGGAGCCGCGCTCTGATCTTGACCGGCGAGCCCCTGGAGGTTGGGCGCGCCCTCGGGTGGCGCCGTGGCCGGCGCAGCCCCTGTGCCCAGCCGTATCATCTGGGCCACTCTGCCCGCAATCTTGTCGATGTCTGCGTCTGTAAGCCCTTCCCTGCCGCCTGCTGAGGCAGCTGCGCTCGAGTGACTCATCACCCGTCTTCAGTACTTGCACCCTCGTAGGTCGCCCTCGCCCTGCCGCAGATCTGTGAACCGTCCTCCAGCTGCGCACCCGCCCTGGGCCTCGCTTCCGGAAGTCGTTCGGTGAACCACGCTCCGCCTACCACTGTGGGCACGACGGGTTCAGGCGGCCATCGCAAGATGTACTGAATGGGATGCCTTTGCACTCAACGCACACAGAACAGCTTGAGCCAAAGCGTCAGTCACGGCGCTGTGCACAAGCAAGCATACAACAGACACAAATGCAGAAAGCACGGATAGTCAGGACGAGAGGGAGCCATATGATTCCACAGTCCCCACTGTACCACTCTCCGATTGTCCAACCAACGTCCTCACCACCACCCTCACCACTGTCCCCACCACCACCGTCCCGACCACTGTCCCCACTGTCCCCACTGTCCCCACCACTGTCCCCACTGTCCCCTCACCACTGTCCCCAACACCACCGTTCCCACCACTGTCCCGCTGTCCCCACTGTCCCCACCGCTGTCCCGCTATCCCCAGTGTCCCTCCCTCTGTCCCCACTGTCCCCATTGCCCCCACCAGTGCCCCCACCAGTGTCTCACTGTCCCCACTGTCCCCACCAATGTCCCCACCACGGTCCCACTCTCCCCACTGTCCTCACTGTCCCCACCATTGTCCCACTGTCCCCACTGTCCCCACCACTGTTCCACTGTCCCCACTGTCCCCACCGCTGTCTCACTGTCCAGAGTGGGGAGGAGGGGGAGTCGTTTGCCAGCGGCAGGGGGGGGGTTCGAACTGATAGAGGCCCCCCACCTCTTTTTCGTGATGGATCGCGGGGGGGGGGGGCATTGGAACCCCCCGTGACCCCCCCGGTTTTCGAGGGGGGTGCGGATCGGAAACCCACAGTGGCTCCCCGCGGCTTTCTGCCAGCAGCGGCAGAACACGCTCTCTCTTTCCAAAAGGACTCCCCCATGGGGCTTCGGCCCAGGGCGCCAGCCACCCAGATAGCTCTGGGCGAGGTGGTGGAACAAAACTTCCCCCTGCTCCCAATGGCTCCAAGAAGGCCTCCAAGACGGCCCAGATGGCCTCCAAGTTCGCCAAAAGTGCCGCACGCGCCGAGCACGTGGGCGCACGGTCGCCGACAACGCTCCAATGGCAGGGACCGAGCGGGAAAAGTGGATATCAAGGGGCCCAAGGACACACAAATAAATACACACAAATAAACTGATTCCCCATGTTTTCCAATACTTTCAAGGTTTTTGTCTTCCCGCCCAATTCCCATATTTCCCTATATTTTCGTAGGAACCCGCGATTAATTGTGTCTGTGTGTTTTTGTTCCCTCCTGAGGATAACTCAAAGCACAGACCCATTTGGAAACGGTGGAAAAAACGGCCCTGCCGTTTCCGGGGCCCACAAGAGGCCTCAGCACCTGCCCGCACAGCTGCGCACGTCGCTGGAGCACCGCGCGTCGACGGCGGGAACGCCCCTTCGCACACACGGGGCACGTGCTGGGCACATATGCCCGCACAACGAGCGCACGTGCCGAGCCTACAAAAGCGCACGCACGTGCATCGGGACAGGCAGCAAGAAGTGGGCCCTGCGCACGTGGTCCCTTGACTCGAATCAGAACGGAGACGGAAGAGGAGCCGAACACGGAACGGAGCAGGGAGGAGAGAGGGATGGAGCACGAGCCGGAGGAGATGGCAGAGGGGGAGGAGAATCTCACCGCCCTGCACAGGAAATTGAGTGTACGACGAAGCCCAGGCGGAAAGAGATCTGATCAAACCGCTGGGTGAGCCACAGTTCACTGTACGACCCAAGCTGGGAAATAAAGACAAGAGCAGGATACGGCAAGGGGGCCACCCCACGCCGCGCAGCGCGCCTTCTCCACGATCTTGGCGCGGGCCCACTGCTGAGAGATGTCGAAGTTATCGGCCAGAGGCAGGCTCAGCGTGAACGGAGTCGCAACCTGCACGCTGGGAGGAGGAAGTGAGATAGAAGGGAGCAGGGTACACCCTGCGAAATGCTTAAGAAACCATGGGTTAAGAAATTCAGAGTCTCAGAACTGGAATAAAAACCCAGAACTTCTATCAAAATCTTGGGATTTACATTGAAAACTTAAGAATAATCAAGACTCTGGCCGAAAACTTAGGTTTTCTTAAGCATCGCCTAAGGTGTAGGGCAGGGAAGGCCCGGCGGAGGCCAGGGGGGAGGCCGGGGAGTTCCGGGTTCACATGCGCCGGCGGGGGGTTCCGGGTGCACATGAACGCGGCCTGCACCACCCAGGCGCAAAAGCGCCCTGCCGAGGCCGTGGCCCCCTCGCCCCTCCCCCGCCCTGCTGCGCGAGCTGCGTTAGGGGGCCACATGCGATCCCTGCCCCCACGATTTCTGAGGGGGAGGATGGGGTTCACTTCGCTCGGGAGCTCCCGAGCCCCACCCTCTCCACCCTCCCCCTCAGAAATCGTTGGGGGGTAGGGGCAGGGTTCGCATGTGGCCTCCCACGGCGTGCTCGTGTCCAGTCTGCACGGCCGTGCATCCCAAGTGCGAGAGATGCGGACGGGTGCGCTGAGCCAGCATCCCTGTCGACTGATATCGTGCAAAGCCTCATGAGCGCGCACGTGCCGAAATCCGTCCATGGCCACTGATGTTTACCCCTGGACCGTAGATGCACATGTGGATACATAGAGAGAGGGGGAGCGAGAGAAAGAGAAACGCCACAAAACATGGTTCTGCGAAAACTAAGAGGCAAGAGTTCTGTGCGCCCGCACTCGCTGGAATAAAGATGAAACCACTGTTGTCTTGCCATTCTGTCCAAAGACAGCACGCGAGCCGCGCGCACGCGCATGACGAGATCAGTCTACATGCATCGCGCACCCGCCTGTGCTGTCAAGAATACCATGTGTGTCATACACGAACCTCGCGGCGCGCACGACGAAATCCTTTTAACACCATTATGAACCTCCAAACTTTTCAATACAAATGTCTTCAAACGCACATGAACGCCCACGCAACTGCTTGTACGTAACCAAAAGTTATACCAGGATGTCTGAATTTCAACGCTCGCACACATCATAATCGTCCCCACCAGCACCAGCGTTATCATCGCCATCGTCGTCACCATCACAATCATATTCGTCACCATCACCAGCGTCCTTTCCATCCCAACCACAGTCATCAACAGCAGCATCGCTATCGTCATCGCAGTTGTCGGCCTCCTCGTCATCAGCGACAACATCATTACCAGCAGCATCATCACTCGCACGCCCGAGCCAAAGATCTGCATGAGAAGGGTTCTCGCATCATTACGGTAACTGTGGTTGCCAAGCACTTGCGGGTGGGTGGGAGGGCGGTGGAATCGAGCATTGGGGCTGACGACGTGCGTTGGAGGTGGTCGCACACGGTGCAGGCTGGTGCACTGCAGCCTTGCGCGAAGATTGCGCCCAGCAGTTTACTCCGCGCAGCGCGCACGTCGAGAGTGTAAGAGCCCACTGCCCGGGGCCCCACGCTGGCCGCCACGGTTACATGCCTTTGCTGCCTCCGAGCCAGCACTGCGAGGAAGGAGGGCGGCGGATGGCGCACCACGGCAGTCCACGCGTTGTCCGTCTGCTGGAGCCAATTCTTCCTCTCCACGACCGCGCCCACGTTGTTCGCCGGGACCTCTGCGAGGCTGCGGCTGGGCGCGCGCCCGTTGGGGCGCTGTGGCGCCAGGAGGCTGGAACACACACGGCTGGATTCACACGTAATGCATCCAGAGGCCACACGCTGGGTGCACACGTGCGGAGGCCCAGCGCAAACGGCCACAGGAGGGCAGAACGCTCAAAGGACACAAGGCCACGTGTGCATCCAGCTCGCCATGCGCATCCAGCTTCCTGGTAGGAGGGAGGAGGAAGCGGCGACGAGGGGCGGGGGGGAGGCGGAGGCGGAGGGGAAGGGAAGTAGGGAGCGGAGGGTGAAACCTCCAACAGGGAAGAAGCCCGAGAAGGCCGGATACGTGATAACGAGGACGCGGCGCCGACGAGTCTTCGAGGCGCCGCACCCTGAGCGGATCGCCTGTGTGCAGAAAGTTCCCTTTCAAGAGCAGTCATCTCCCTGCACCCTGGTACTGCGAGGGCAACCTGGGCGTCCCGCGGCGTGACTTTTTCAGAGCGTGGACCCCAGAAGTCTGGGCCTCTTCCAGGGGACGTGCTTTTTCATCCTGGTCAGTTTTTGTTGGCACCTGGAGCCGGGCAAGGCCCCCCAGGAACCGAAAACAGCCCAAGTGGGGACACGATGATTGCACACCACCGCTACAATTAGCCTGACGAAGGACCCAGCCATGTGTAGCTGTGAGTGCCGCGAGGGAGATGAGACGAAGGAGGGGAGCGCGCAAACTCCGAGTAGCGCACGCGGTATAGCCTTCTGCCGCGAAACGTGTGAAGGGTGTGCCGACATGAGTCGGGAGGACTCCTGCGAACGCCGCCATTGGGGTCTGCCGTGGATCTCCCTATGGGGCCACGAAGCGTGTGAGGTGTGTGCCGAGATGGGGCGGCGGTGCCATGCGGCGGTGCCATGCGGACGCTCCCGCTGAGGCCTTCGGTGGAGCTCCCTATGGGGCCACGAACCCTGTGAAGAGTGTGCCAAATGGGGCGGCAATGCCATGCGGACACTCCCGCTTGGGCCTTTCGATGGAGCTCCTTATGAGGCCACGACCCGTGTGCGGGGTGTGCCAAGATGGGGCGGCGGAGCGGGGGCCGTGTGCAAAAAAATGCACATCCTGGGGATACGGTTTCCGACCCCCGACCACAAACACTCCGTCGCGATCTCATTCATTCACACAGAACAAGATGTCCACAATATGTTGTCCCCGCTGGGGCTGCATGACTCTTTGGTTACAAACCGAGGCGCAGCCACTCCACAACCACATCGCACATGAAAATCACGCGGCAAGACGGGAACACCGCACTAGCCGACCCGCAACAGTCAAACTCATACTACGAACCGTCGCCTGGACACCCCGTCGTGCCTGTGTGGCACGATGCGAGGGAGGGCCAGGGACAGGGCCGACGGGACGAGGCGCCGCCGCACGGCCGAGGCCCGGGCCACGCAGAGATCGTTGCTGCACAGCCCGGGGTCCCAGCACCACACGTGCAGCGACGCGACGTCGCCAGGCGCGGGCACGCCGCTCGGGTCCAGGTCGAGCGGTATGTGGACCTGGGCCGCCCAAGGCTCGGGAGACCGCAGGGGAGAGGGGGGGGGACCCCTGACACGATGGTGTACAACGAAACGATAGGGGGGGGGCTATCACAACTCACATCGTACGGCTGCGAGGCTCCACAGCGGCAGAAAGCGACAGTGACAAAAGGCAAATACAGGAATATGAGCACAGGAATATGAGCATAGGAAACGATGGTGTACAACTGGAGGAGATGTGTTCGACCCCTCCCCCGTAACGCTCGCTACGGGGGGGGGAGGTCGGGCGCCCGTGGCGGGATGACGGTAGTGTGGCGGGTGCGGTCATGGTCGTGGAAGCAGCGACGGTGGCAGCAGAACTCCTTCTGAGGGCAGCACAGGCAGCGGCGACGACGACGACGACGAGGACGACGACGAGAGCCAAGGGGGAGGGGGGAGCGACCCCCGTAACGGACGTCACGGGTTCACCGGAGTGTATACAACTTCGAGCCTATAGTATCCACAATCCAGTGAGGGTGCGACAGAGCGGCCGCGTGGGGGGGGGAAGCAATGGGGCGCCCGATGTGGGCGGCGGACCAGACACCGGCTGCGCACGGCAGCTGTCGCAGCAACGTCCCCCGCCCCGAGGAGCGCCCCTATCGTCCCAGGTCCTGGGTCAGGTTCGATCCCGCGCGGAGGACGCACGCGCCCCACAAGTGGGGACGGCGTAGGAAGCTGCGCGAAAGGTACACGTCCCTCGAAGCACGCGGTGCTAGCCATGAGCCCTACGAAATCATCTTCGAAATTGCTGGCAGGTTACTGCGAGCCCTTCCCCTTCCCCCCCGTTTGTCCGACTCGAGAGGCAGGGGTAGAGAAGAGGAGGGGTGGGGAAGAGGGAACGCCATCCTGGGCGGCCCGGCCATCAGTTTCTTTTTATCACGGCGTAAAAGCCGTCTCCCACTCCTCCTCCTCCTCCTCCTCCTCCTCCTCCTCCTCCTCCTCCTCCTCCTCCTCCTCCTACTCCTCCTCCTCCTCCTCCTCCTCCTTCTCCTCCTGCTCCTCCTCCTCCTCCTCCTCCTCCTCCTCCTCCTCCTCCTCCTCATCTGGTCATCGTGGGGCGCACACCGAGGTTGGATGAGCCTCCTCCTCGCCCTCATTCCCCTCCTGAGGGAGGCCCTTCTGCTCTGTGGCAACCAACCGATCCAGCCCTGCTTCGAGGCGCCGCCGAGGACGAGGCGGGCGCGAAGACGGGCCGTAAGGGCGGTGCTCGACGAACAAGCCTCCCCTGTTCTTCCTCTCTCTGCGCCTGCTCAGAAACTTGACATCCTCGCGTCGCGCAACACTCATCACAGCTGGCTGTTGACCGCTATCGACCTCCAGGATGGAAGGCTGGTCCCTGGGAAGGGGTCTGTAGACTCTGGGTCCCTGGGGAGCCGCGCTGTGGAAAGGCACGGCGTTGCAGATCTTGGGGGGCCCACAGCTTCAGCTTCACCTACTCTGCACGTGAGCACTGCTGTTGCCGCAGCCTCACGCGGGGCCTCCTCTATCGCACACGCCGCCGCTCGCGACGACGCGTCCTCCACCCCGCCCCCCCCACTTTGCTCTGCCGCTCGCGACGACACCTCCCGCCCGCCCCCTCCACGCTGCCCTGCCGCTCGCTCCCCCGCGCCCCCCTCCTTCCGAGAATGCTCTGGCCACCTGGTTCCATCCCGTGCCGGAGAACTGGCTGGGGGTCGTCGCTTTGCCGTGGCAGCGGGGAAAGGTCGCGCTCGGGTCATCCCTGGCGCAGTCCTCTGCGGCAGGGGAGGGGTGAATGAGGAGAAGGGGTGCATGAGGTATCTCGCCTGCTGCTTGTAGCTCCTTGCCCCCACCCTCTACACCATCCTCGTCCCCACCAGCTTCCACCCACTCCTCACCAATCATGCAGCAGCAGAAAATACGACGTGCTCTACAAGGGCAAGGGGTGTGAAACTGAACACACCTCGTTCGGAAGAAGTTGGCAGAAAGAATCAACAAGACGGCGGCAAAGTCGATTGGGTCTCGGCCCGCACATGACGCGGGCGAACACAATAGGAAGCCAACAATGCTTCGAGTAGGAGGGCGCTTAAAGTGTACTGGCATGTGGACATGTAGAAGCCAGCGGAAGAAGCTTCTATTCGCCTCCCGACCCCTCCTGATGACCATGATCCGAATGCGCCTATCCCTTAGTGGGCCCTGGAAGCGAAAGGGCAGTGTTTTACTGCTTCCATGTCGCCTTTCGTTTGGACACCCGACATGGGTACCGAAAGAATGGATACAATGCCTAACAGCAAATGTTGTCCTAAACCAACAGTGGCCGCTGTTGGGCAGGCGGCCTTCTGTCTCGAACGGGCACAAGCCGCGGCGGCGCGGACAGCGAGTCCTGTTCAAAATGAACAGGAACTGCTGTTGGGCATTGTACCCATTCTTTCCGTGCCCATGTCGGGCATCCAAATTTCGTTTCCGGTTCCGACGCCGTTTTTTTGCCAATTCCGACGCCGTTGTTTTGCCGGTTCCGGCTCCAGCTCCAATCCTGGAGCCGTTTTTGTGTGCCGTTTCTGGTTGTCGTCTTTTCCGTTTCCTGTTTCAAGAGACGCTTCTTCGGAAACGGTGAAAACACGGTCCTGTCGTTTCTGGGGCCCACTAAGGCCTATCCTCATCCGATTCCTCATCGTCCTCATCCGCATGGCCAGCGTCCTCATGACTTATGACCATTGTGCTCCGTTTCCTCCTCATGAGCAACCTCCTCCGGCTCCTCCACCCTCATCCCCTATGAGAAATTTCTCCTGGTCGCACCTCCAGGCTGTCGGAAGGGTGGGCCGGCCACTTCGCACGACAACTCAGCACAATGTATGTAGCTGGACTGGAAATTCAAATCAGCTTAGGGGCGGAGGCCAACTTACTTTCAGCATGCGGCTCTCGCCGCAGTGACGCCCTCGTGCGGACGAAATGTTTGCAGCAAGTGCGTGGGTGGACGGGAGATTGTCCTCAACATGTGTATAGATCCTTTGCGCCGCATGTGTACATCTCTCCCGCGCCGCGCACATTTCTCGTAGGCACAGGCCTGCAACATGTCACTGCGTCGGGGGCGAGACCTTGTCAAAATGGGGCCCGCTCTTAATACTAAGTCGGATTCGGAAACAACCATACGGATGACGGACGGCTTCATTTCGCATGTGGGCTCTCGCTTGAGACCCCTTCACACCGCTTGAGAACAACTCACCAAATTTGCAACAGCTGAACGAACGGTGGCCAGACCAGTTGCCGGTGTGTGCTAAAACGAGGCTCGGACTTGAAGCCTAAGTATTCTCAAATACTCTCATTGCAGCGCATACGCAGATGGAAGACGGTTCAGCCTCAGATTCGAGCTCTCGCGTCGCTCTCCCTTGGCCTGCACGATCGTACCTCTTCTCTTCCTGCATTCTCGTTCCTCCTCTCGTGGCGGGCGAAACGGGGGAATAGCAAACGAGCGGTTAGGGAGCCAGCTGCATGCAGCCGGTTTTTCAGACGCCCCCCTGGCGCCAGGTGCAAACAATGCATGAGGGAAAAAGCCCAGAGGAATTGGCACAACCAGCTGCAGTCTGCCCTCCCCTATCACAGTCTCTCTCTTTCGTCCGCCCTGATCCTCCTAAACCTCCTCCTCCTCCTCCTCCTCCTCCTCCTCCTCCTCATCCTCCTCCTCCTCCTCCTCCGCATTCCTCCTCGACTGCATTCTACCTCCTTCCTCCGCCTCCTCCTCTCTCCTGCCTCATCCCGCCTCCCCTCGCGTCTGGGGACGTCACATGGCCCAGGCTCGATGCAGATGTATCCCTGGCCAAGCCAGGAGGGCACACACCCAGACATCCGACGCTGTGCTTTCTCAAAAACGTATCCACAGACGCCGGAGTCGCTGATGTTGAGGGTCCAGGGGCCCAGTGGGGACCCCAGAAGCCCAAAGCTGCCAAATGCCTCCCGTCGTGACTTTTTCACGAGGCGAAGAAACCGTGGGGAAACCAAAAGGTAGCGATACGGCTACTTCCCGGACCTCTCCCGGGGCGCGTTCTGACCAGGATTTCGAGGCGAGTCCAGCGGTGGCGACGGGGGCCCCCGAGAAGGTCCAAGAGGGGGAAAACGGGGGAAGGTAGCAGTGTGGGTACCTCTCCCCCCTCTGAAGCCAGGGCTGGCCCAGGATGGGCCTGGCCAGGGATCGGCGAGGTGGTCATCTGGCGTCCCCCGATCGCGAGGCGCGGGTGGCCGGGGCTGCGGCCAGGGACTTGCTGCTCGGCGTGCCGCGGCGGCGGCCCCGGCGGCTCGCGCGCCGTGCCAGGCGAGCTGCAAGCGTGTCGCTCCGCTGCTCCGGGTGGGAGGCTGCGCAGAGCTCGGGACGCTGCTGCTGGGGTCTGGGACGTGGCTCGCGCGCCGCGCCGCAGAGCGCTGGGCCAGAGCCGGCGGCGCGACAGGCCAGGCAGAAGCTGCCGACCGGAAGGGCCGCAACACGCGCCGTCCTCCAGGACGGACATCTCGGGCGTGAAGCCGTCCGGCGCCGCCTGTGGAGAGGCGGGTAGCGAGGAAGAGGCGGGCCCTGATGGTGCGACGAGGAGGGTGGCGCCAGAAGCAGCAGCCAAAAGAAAGCATGGCACCCTGCCCTCAGGACCGCTCCCCCTCACGACGACGGGCAGGGAGCACGAGGGGAAGGGGCCCTGGAGAGGCCACGGAGCCCCCGATTCTGCCTTCGCCTGCGGGCCCCCCCCCGGGCCCTCCACCGGCACGTGCTCGGGGCAGAGAGCCGGCCCCGCCGGAGGCGCGGCGCGAAGGGGGGGGGGCCCGCGCGAGAGGGGCGCTCCCGCGCGCCCTCGTCTTCCCTTTCCCGCCTGCCACGCCAGAGCGCGTGCCCCCCCCGCGGGGCGCGGGAGGGTGGTCCGGCAGCTGGCGGGGAGGGGGGGGGAGAAAGGGAGGCACAGAGGGGGGAGGGGCGCAGAGAAGGGAAGGATGTTCAATGCTTTGGCCCAGAGTGGGGGCCGCCCTGAGGAGCCCTCGTCGCCACGGCCGGACCCGCCCACGCGCTACGGCACATGGCGAGGAGGAGGAGGAGGACAGCTCTACCATCTCAACCCAGCTGTACACCGAGACGGACTAACATATTTCTCCAGTCCGTGCAGCCCATCAGAACTAGCACACACACACACACACGCGCACACACACACGCAACACACACACACACACACACGCAACACACAGACACACACACACACACACACACACACACACGCGCACACAAGACCAGATAGCAGAGTAGTTGAGGTACGGAGGAGAGATCGTACAGGAGATGTATGGTGCTGCCTGCACGGGACTACCGATTGGCCACCCATCTACACCAGCTGTCGCCTGCGTGCCGCTGGCATTTCGTTAGCATCCCTTGCGGTGTCCTCCCTGTGAGTATGGCATGTATTGAGAGCGCCTGCTCATCCTCCTCCTATGCAGCCGGCTGCCTGCTTAGTTACTATGTGTTATTGCGGGTTACTCTTCTTGGTACATGCCTCTTTGCCACTCCCACTGCCTCACTAGCTTGCAGCTTGCGTTAGGTCAACGTCACATACGTCGGATGAGTGACACATTATTATCGTCGCGCAGACGCTCCCAAACAGTCCTAGTCCGAGCTACGTACAAACGAGGACGGGAGATTGGAGGCGGAGGGAAGAGAAGGAATATAAGGAGGTGGAACAATGGAAGAGGGGTAGGAGTTAGAAACAGCAGGGCAGCAGGATAAGCAGTGTAGGAGAAGGAGGAGGAGGAAGAGGAGGAGGAACGGAGGAGGAACGGAAAAAGAGAAAAACAAACAAGAACATCAGAAGAAATGGCTGGATGAAAGGCATGAGGAAAAGGATCAATACAAATAGAGGCGGGCGAGGAATGGGAATGGTAGGAACAGCAGGAGGAATAAGGATGGGAATGGGAATGGAGGAGTCACAGCACCTCTGCGGGAGTACGCGCTGTCGCGGATTGACTCTTTCGAACTGACCAGGGTGCACCCCTGCCCGAACCACCCCTACCCTCTAGACCATTGGTTATCGGAGCGTCAAGGGTGGCCCTGGATGGCCCCACATAACACAAGATGGCCTCCGACATAACACAAAATTGCCCAGATGGCCTCCAACACGGCTCCAGGAGGCCGCAATGAGGCCCCAGGATGGCTATTAAGGTTGCCCCCGAGTCTTGCAAGGATGCCCCAGGCATGCCAAACTGGCCGACACACCTTAGATGTGTTTCCAGTGGAGCACGTGCACGCCAAATGGTGGCGCTCCCAAAACAAGGGCCCACGTATGTGGCCGATTCTGCGAACCATGAACCCACAAATGTTGACGTATGATTTCCAGCCGCTTCTGGACCGCCTCTTTTCAGCCACATGTGGACCAACCAGGCTCGAACTGATCCCTATTCCTACAATCCACATTCCTGAGGCAATAACAAGATTTAGGGATGTACCCACAGAAACTGAAGGAATCTTTGGGATCGGCACCGAGGTACGGTTGATGTCAAACATAGGGACATGGACATGTTTCAAGCTGGTACTGGATACGGTGCCTCTCGAAAGCGCGCCCGAGTCTCAGCACGGGATCCGCCCAGGCCTCCCGCGGCTCCCTGTCTGAGGGCTCCGCCTGCCCTTCCGAACCCTGCAAGCCTACCTCTCTCGGCCCACTGCTTCTGGCCATCCCCACCGCCTCGGTGGTCACCACGCAGGTGACCATTCGCCTCCAAGCCCAGCCGAGGAATGGGAAAGACTGGGGAGGAGGAGGAGGAGGAGGAGGAGGAGAAGGATAAAGGAACTTCGGAGAATGCTTGTCCATTTTTTGGCCCCTGGGGGCTCCCACTGCAGGCCCCGGGGCCGGCAAAAAGAGCCAGTCCCCGGGGAAGGGGTACAGCGAGACCTCTGGGGGCCATGCTGCGAAAGGATCACGATGTGAAGATCATCGAGGAGGGAGGAGGAGGGAGGAGGAGGGAGGAGGAGGGAGGAGGAGGGAGGAGGGAGGAGGAGGGAGGAGGAGGGAGGAGGAGGGAGGAGGAGGAAGGAGGAGGAGGAGGAGGAGGAAAGATCATCGAGGATGCGGGAAGGGCAGAGCGAGCGAGCGCGCTGCGGAGAGGGTCCCTATTGACGTCCAGCCCTCTGTCAGCCACTGGCTCGTTGTGCGCCTCATCCAGAGCGAGATGTTCGATACAGTCGGGGCGTTGACCTAAGGAACCCTAAATAAGGAACGAGGCCCCTTTTTCCATAAGTTACACTTCAATTTCCGATCGAGAACATAAGGAAAACTTGAGGCAAGCTGTGAAACACTTAAGGAACGCGGAGCCCCTCCCCTAACCAAAAGGGTTCCTTCTTCAGGGCCCCGACTGTAGGCTCTCAACTCTCAACGACCCTGGCGCAAGGGATCTGCAGAAGTGCCCCCCTTTAGGCGAGTCGCATCGAGGCGAGGGGCTGCCCAGTCCGACAGAGGGACAGACAGTATCGCGCGCACAAGAACGATAGGCCGCGTATTGCGAATGTGGTGGAATTGGCTGGCATGTCCCACCTCTTGCACTTGGTCTCACTTCGCCATGATTCCGAACGAACTCCATACCGTCAACAAAAATGGAAATTTCTGGGCTAGCCTGTACCAGGAGATTCCACGGACAGCATCGGACTATCACTGTGGGATCCAATTCCCCAGATCATGGCTTCCTGGCCTGCTTCGAGTACAGGGCCTGGTTCAACACTCATTCAGCAAAAGCTGGCCAAGACGCGAAGATGAAATATCCAGAAATGTTCGACAGGCTCGAGCGATTCGACTGCAGCAGCTTGCAGGCTCCGTCTACTTACGCTGAATGAAAAGAACTGAGTGGAAGAAGCGGCGTGCAAAATGGGGGAGCAAGATCAGAGAAGGGCGCTTGTTTACCAGCTGTTGTAGGTACAGCCTTTGCGCGTCGTGGAGAACGTGGAGCTCCCTGAACAGAACAAGCGGGGTTGAGAAAACATCCGGTTCGAGCTGCTGGCCACGAGCTAGCCAAAGCGGTGACAACGGGATCGTATGGCGCACCCTCTGGAGGAAATGTCGACGCCGCACGGGGTACCCTGGGAGAGTCGATGAGCCGACTGGGTGGGCCGAGTCGCCGTGAAGACCACGAGAGTGCGCGGAGCAGGGCACGGGTGGGCAACAAGAGGGGGTCAGCGCAGCGGCACTTCTTGCTCGCAGCGCAAGTGGACGCAAGCGCGACTGCAGAGCCGGCGGGACGCGCCGTCCACCGGGTGCAGCGACACACGCCGCTGGCTGCTCAAGCGCCAGGCACCGGGCCGAAACCGAGCGCACGCAACAGAGTCTGGGCCCCCCGCCTTTGCGGAGGTCGTCCGGCCGGACAGGGGAGATGGGAAGGGGATGGGGAGGACACCAGGGGAATCCCTGACGTTGAAGGGTCGACCTGCTCATTCGCCTGGTCTGTCACACGGCTTCCTTGAGTCGCTGGCCTCTGGAGCTCTGGATAAGGCAAGGGAAGGATGAAGATACATCCCGATGTGAACTGGGAATCTCTGAACTGGATGGTCTCGAGGATGTATCGGGCGCGGCGGCCGTTTCAGAGCGCTCCAGAACGCTCTGATGGCGTTCTAGAGCGCTCTGGTGCAATTCATGTTCATCCTAGGCACTTCCCCGAGACCAGCGTTTCATCCTAAGCAGTGTTTTAACTGCCCCAGGGCCCAGACCAGGCCCAGACCGAGCAAACACCGGCCGTCACGATGTCCGTGAAGGCGGATGCGTGGGAGGGGGTGGGGCCCCTGTCTGACGCAGACGGCACCAAGGGTTCCAAACGGGCAATCCTGGCACGTACCTTGCCAGCTCTGCGCGCCACGCCGCCAGCTCGCGGCAGCATGTGCTGCCCTGCCAGGGAGAGAAGAGGAAAGGGCAAGCAAAAGATACAATGGCTAACGCGCAGGCAGACCATGTCCGCAGGCATCCGACGTCGTGACCTTTTCACACCCCAGAGAGCCCCGCGGCCACGAATAGGGCCCGTGGAGGCACAAAACAGCAAAAACCTCCCGTCCATTCTGCTCACGACGTGAGGGGGTCAGGGGTCTGGGCCCCGAGCCCCCGCCCCGCCCGGGGTAGAACATGTCAACCTCGACGGTCACGACGTCAACCGTCGCCGGCAGGCCCCTGCCCTGGACGTCGTCCTCCACTGCGCGAACGCCAGAAATGGATCCCTGGACCACCACGGTGCCGGCCTTCCGGGCGGGGGAGGACAAGGGCAGGAAGCCAGGGAGCGTGCACAACTGCCTGTCCTGATGCCGACGCCCTCCGAGGAGGCGAATGCACCGATCCCGGGCACGGCTTGGAGCGTGGGCCCGCCCAGGATCGGTGTGGCCCGCTCTGGAAGTCCGGAACCCACATCGGGCGGGTGGTGATGGGGGGGGGGGGGACCGACATGGGGGGTGAAGCAGAGGGCCCCAAAGTAAGCCCCTTAGAGACACCTTTGGGCCCCTGCTGGCCTGTCAAGGTCATTTTCTCAAACCCCCATGTAGAGCACCCGCTGCTGATGTGTTCCACTGCACCGCTGAGAGCTAGCAATCGTGACAAAAGAGGACGTGCTGGCTGCCCGGGACTCGCCTGCCCCAAGCTTGTGAGCTCGCTGGCTTGGCCTCCTTGGGCCGTTTCCTTCACCACCACCCCTCAGGTCCGCCCATCCTCCTCCTCCTCCTCCTCCTCCTCCTCCTCCTCCTCCTCCTCCTCCTCCTCCCTCCTCCTCCTCCTCCTCCTCCTCCTCCTCCTCCTCCTCCTCCTTCTCCTCCTCCTCCTCCCCCCCCTCCTCCTCCTCCTCCTCCTCCCCCCCCCTCCTCCTCCTCCTGCATCCCTTGCCGCAAGGTTGCCCCACCCGTCGAACTTCCAGACGTATCCGTCATCAGGCCAGCCCGAGCTTACCACCCGCCCGACTACCAAGAGAGACGGGCCTCTCGTGTGTCCACCCGCATCCACTCCGCCCTCGGACGGCGGAACTGCCCACGATTCTGCTTCCCGCCGCCTCACGCCTGCCTGCCAGGCCTCCGCCGAAGAGGAGAAGCCAACGAGCCTCGAACGCCCCAGGCATCCGACGTCGCGTTGTTCTTTCACGGCGTGACTCCACAGAGCCTTTGGACACCGAACATTCTCAAATACCTTCGTGACTATACCACGACGCAAGGAGGCCAGGCCTTATGGAGGGAATACCACGTGTGCACCCTCTGGTACCTATACGACAATCCTTCTGGTAGAGGTTCGGGGGAACCAACGCCAAACTCAATCGATATCACTATGGATATCACCTTAGACCTCACTATCGATCTCACTCGGTCGATCTCACGCTCGGTCTCACAATCGATCCCAGATCGATCTGGCAACCCATCTCACCATCGATCTTGGTATCACTTTGACTATCGGTCTGACTATCGATCTCGCTATCAGTATTACTATCGATGTCACTATCGCTCGCATTATCCCACTGGCTATCGATAAGACAGTACATCTCACCATCGATCCCACGATTGATCTCACTATCACAGTCAATTTGGATAGTACTATCGGTTCAACGCATCGGCTTACTATAGATGTCACGATCGATCTCACTACCGATCCCACTGCCAAAATGGTAATCCATCTCACTGTCGATCTCACTGCCGATCTCACTATCGGTACTACGATCGATCTCAATATCGAACTCACTATCACTCTGACTATCGATCTCACTATCGATCCCATCATCGATCCCACTATCGACCTCACGGGACACCACGGAACACCAAGGGGCACCTCGCCGCGGGACACCACGGGGCACCACGGGACACAATCGGGACAACACGGCGGGACACACTGGGCCACCACCGACCAACAAGGGGGGGAGGGGCAGTCTTTTGGCTCGGCCGCGCACTAGCCAGAGGAGGGCTCATGCATCTCGCCCGCTCACGCAGCTTCGCCTCGCCCACACAACATGAGCAAGAAATTGAAACCGATTTCTTGGTGAGAGGCTCGCCGTTTCACTGCGATCTCACCCCCTCACCTCCGATGTCGTCAATCGGTCATGATCCCTTGACTCCTTCAGCTCTCCTTGTGCCCTGGTGCCATGTACCTTCTCTGGGGGATGTCCACATGCAGCTTCAGGGATTGACGGAAACAAGCCCACGGGCAAGCCTCGACCTCAACGCTACTGTCTAGACCCGTAGCAGGGGTGAGGTCACGAAGGAAGGGGTGGACCGCAAAGCAATAGCTGAGCCAAGACAACCACGCGAGACACCAGCTAAATTCCTGCCTGCAGCAATGAAACACTTGCGCCGCATGGTTTCCGGCGCCCCTCAGTCTCCTGCTCCTCCCGCTATTTCAACCCATTACCCTGCTCCTCACCGTGCTCCTCCTCACCGTCCCGTTTTCCCCTCCTCTCGGCTAGACGCACGAGTGACCTTGGGCAAGAGTGACCTTTTGTGTGCGGACAAAAAACGCGCAAGGTGGCCAAATCCAAACGCGCAAGTAGCCGCTACCGCGTCGCGCTGAGCCATCTGGGGACACCAGTGTGCCCGCACCGAAGGTCACTCCGGCAAAGGGTCACTCTTACGCGTTGTCGATCCTCATGCTCCTCCAGATCCTCCTCCGACATCTCCTTCTCCACCTCCTCCTACCCTCTGCTCCTCCTACCCTCTGCTCCTCTTCCCCCTCCTTCTGCTGCTGCTACTCTTGCTGCCCCTCCTCCTCCTCCTCCTCCTCCTCCTCCTCCTCCTCCTCCTCCTTGTCTGGCTCCTTCTTCTCCACCTCCTCTTACCCTCTGCTCCTCCTCCCTCTCCTCCTCCTGCTCCTCCTCCCCTCGGTCCTGCTCTCCCTCTGCGGCTGCCGCTCCTGCGGCCGCTTCTCCCTGGCCTCTGCTCTTCCTCTTGCAATTCACCCTGCATCCAGCACACATACAAAGCCTGTGGGAGCCCAAGAGGCCCCAAGAGGCCCCCAAGAGGTCCCCAAGATGCTCCAAGAAGCGCCCAAGAGACCCAAACGAGGCCCAACAGAGACCCCGAAAAGGCCCCCAAGAGGCCTCAAGCTGCCTTTAACATGTCCCCGAGAGGCCTCCCACAAGATCCCAACGAACATCCAATAGGCTTCATACCCACAACTCAAGCACGGTGGCGGGATGGGCCGCAGGCCACTAGACCTGCTTGGCACGGGGACGGAAAGCGCACTTACTTTCAGAGCGCACGAGATCGCTGGCTCGTCCGCTCTTACACCTCTTATTGACTCCCTTCCCCTCGCTCTTGTCCTATCTCAGCCTCGGAGAGTCGCGGAGCTTTCTTTGAGCGCGTTTCTTGTTTTGGAGGGGGCGGTCGGGTCGCGTTGCGTTTTCCGCGTTTGGGCTGCCAGCTTTCCAGAACCCCGCGTTTTCCTTGCGTGGACCGCTCGTTGTCCACGCGTTGCCGCCCGTCCCTGTGCCCTGGCGTCAAGAACTTATTACGTCTCAGCTCTCGGTTGGGAGCTTTGGTCTTATCAGCTTGATTACGTCACCGCTCGCTCTTGGGAGCCGCGGTGCTAAGAGCCTTTGGGAGTATTTTGGGCCTCTTGGGGGGCTCTTGGGGAGCCTCTTGGGTGCCTCTTGGGGCTTTTCGGGGGCCTCCTGGGGCCTCCTGGGAGTATCTGGGCTGCGGGGGTGAAGGGACTAGGCTGCCTTTGGCCGTCTTTGGGCTCTCTTGGGGGCCTCTCGGGGCCTTCTTGGGGCCGTCCTGGGGCCGCCTTGGGCCGTCTTGGCGCCTCTTGGGCCGCCTTGGCGCCCTCTTGGGCCGCTTTGGGGCCCTCTTGGGGGCCTCTTGGGCCTTCTTGGGGCGCTCTTGGGGGCCTCTTGGACAGTCTTGGACGCATCTTGGCCCGTCTAGGCGCCCTCTTGGGCTATTTGGGGGGCCTCTTGGGAACATCTTGGGCCGTCTTGGGACGGTCTTGGGGGCCTCTTGGACCGTCTTCAACGCCATGAAAAGCGAAAAGCCGTATATGCTAGAAATGACGTTTTCCTTCAGCAAATCAATGATTGTGGCATCTTGGGGCCCTCTTGGGACGCCTCGTGGGCGCCTCCTGGGGCGTCGTGGAGGCCTCTTGGGACGTCCTGGGGCCGCCTTGGGCGGTCTTGGGCTCTCTTGGAGCGCTCTTGGGCCGTCTTGGGCGCTTCTTGGGCCGTCGTGGGCGCCGTCTTGGCCGCTTCTTGGGCTGTCTTAGGCGCCTAAGACGGCCCAAGAAGCGCCCAAGACGCGTTCTCCGATGATGTCTCGAGCGAAACGCTGTTTTTAAGCCCCGAAGGCCGTCCTACTCGATAAAGGTGAAGGGGCTAGGCTGCCTTTGGCCGTCTTTGGGCTCTCTTGGGGGCCTCTTGGGGCCTTCTTGGGGCCGTCATGGGGCCGTCTTGGGCCGTCTTGGGCCGTCTTGGCGCCTCTTGGGCCGTCTTGGCGCACTCTTGGGCCGTTTTGGGGCCCTCTTGGGGGCCTCTTGGGCCTTCTTGGGGCGCACTTAGGGGCCTCTTGGACAGTCTTGGGCGCCTCTTGGCCCGTCTAGGCGCCCTCTTGGGCTATTTGGGGGGCCTTTTGGGAACATCTTGGGCCGTCTTGGGGCGGTCTTGGGGGCCTCTTGGACCGTCTTCAACGCCATGAAAGGCGAAAAGCTGTATATGCTAGAAATGACGTTTTCCTTCAGCAAATCAATGATTGTGGCATCTTGGGGCCCTCTTGGGACGCCTCGTGGGCGCCTCCTGGGGCGTCGTGGAGGCCTCTTGGGACGTCCTGGGGCCGCCTTGGGCGGTCTTGGGCTCTCTTGGAGCGCTCTTGGGCCGTCTTTTTTTTTCCTCGGTATCAGCCCGATACGGCAGACATTTATCTGCCAGTTATATAAGAAATACGGCATACCTCGCGGGGGAGGCCTCGCTTTAGGGATGATGGCACAGAGAGCTAGCCAAGCATGGCCCTGCAACGAACGGAAATCGAGGCCCTGGTCGGCATCGATTTTGGCAGCGTGCGAGCTCAGCTTCCAGCGTGGCTGAAAAACAAGACGAGGCGTCGTGCGGAGCGAGCGGCACCTGCCATCTGTGGGCGTGCTCAGTGAAGCCCGCGGTCATGACGATGGCGGTGATGGTGATGCTGATTATGCTCATGACGTTTGCCTTTTTTCCTCACGAGCGAGCTGTTCTGCCATCCCGGAGGCACGACTCCCCACTGGGCGAGGGACAGACGGACCTGCTCAGCTACGTGAGCCCCGCAGCTTCCGGCCTTGGGGGCAGCATGTCAGGCAGAGCGAGCTCTTTCTGGCCGCCGTGCGTCGGCGAGGCAACCGTAAGAGGAACACACCCGCCAGATCGGGCCCCTGGTCCGCGAGGCCTCCGCGGCCGTGGCCCCTCGGACTGCCGCCCCCGCGCGCCTTTTGGCCCAACGGGCGTGCGTCAGCACGCAGCACGTTGGGGCCTGGAGGAGATAAAATCAGGAGGAGGAGGAGGAGGAGGAGCCGGAGGAGGAGGAGGAGGAAGGGGCGAGGCGAGAGGAGGAGAAAGAGAAGGCGATGAGCAGCCGTGCTCGATTTAAACGAAGAGTCCGTCACAGGGTTCTCAGGAAAGTACAGCAAGCGGTCTTTGCCCTGCCAGTGCAAGGAGCGAAAACTGAATATATCATAATCGTTGTATGCGCCCCCGCACACACGCGCATCTGGCTAACCCCGTACCCATCCCGAGGCGACTGGGCCTGCATAGCGCTTTTCACGCTGAGAGAGTTGCACGCTGAGAGAAGAGGAGGAGGAGGAGGAGGAGGAGGAGGAGGAGGAGGAGGAGGAGGAGGAGAAGGAGGAGGAGGAGGAGGAGGAGTAGGAGTAGGAGGAGGAGGATGTCCGGAGGGAGGCCAAGGAGGAATGAGGGAGGCACGCCTCGCTTCATCCAGGCCGTCGTACTGCTTTCGACCATGGCGTAGCAACATCTGGGGCCAAGCGATGCGTCTGCGATTCGATGCGCAAACATGCCTGGCACGCCGGCTCCCGAGCGAAGGGTCGGACCTACCGAATAGCTGACTCACAAACCAACGACACAACTCACACACAAACAAAAACAAACATCCCCGAATGATTTAAACTTGGTAAACATTGGCGGCGGCCTGGATTGCGTCTCAAGACCGCCTGCCCGTCCGAAATAGATGGCCTGACTCTGGACGCGCTCGTTTGGAGAGCGGATCGCCGCCATCATCGGTTGACCCGCCCGCTCGGCTGCGTGGCCGCCGAGGGGTTGAACCGGGACTCGTTCAGGGTCCGCGGGTTGCAGTCGTCGGCCATGCGCAGGGCCCTGCCGGCCATGGCCGTCAGAGCCGCCATGACCTCGATGATGTCCGCCGCGCAGAGCGCGTCGGTGTTGAACTTCGGGGCGCAGTTGTCGACCGCCTGCGCCGTGAAGCTGCCCATGAACTGGAACGACGCGGCCACACCAAGGGCGTCCGCCGCGCAGAGGTGCGGGCTCGCGATGGTGATTCCGCTGGGGGAGAGCCCGTCGGGGCGGATAGGATCGTGCGAGCAGTCCTTGATGGCGTTCAAGATTCCCTGGATGGCGTTCGCCAGCGTGTTGGCAGCGAAGATGGCATCGATCACGCACGCGAACGTGTCAGTCTTGTTCGGGTCGTACCCGTTGAAAGAGACGTTCTTGGACATCGGCGGGCACGTGTACGAGAGCTGAGCCGCTGCCAGCACGGTGGTGCCAAGGCTGCCCACCACCGCCATCACGTCCTCGGCGCAGTCGGCGCCGAGATCGGGCGTGCCCATGCAGTTGTGCACGGCACCCGAGAGGAAGCTGCCCAGCCAGATGAAGGAGGTGGTCGCGCCCGTGATGGAGGAGGCGCACAAGCCGGGCGGGGCGCCCTCCCTCCGGCAGAACTTCACCGCGTCCCGGATCCCGATGGCGGCGTTGGCCGCGGTGACAGTGGCCATGATGCTGTTGATGATGCAGTTCCCCAGGTTGCTTGGCCCAGAATACGTCGTGTTCGTCTCGTTCGCCACCACCGTCGCGGCGTCCAAAACTTCGTCGACCCCCGCGGTGTGCCCGTTCCGGCTGTGCTCCGTCAGCCTCGTAGGGTTTGCGGCTACCTCGTACACCGTCAGCTCTGAGGGGCTCGCAGCCTCCTCCAGGCGCCTCAGTATTGCGACCACCTCGTCTGGGCTCTGGGCAGTGGCCGTCTCGGCGAGTATCTCGGTCATCTGCCGCTGCTGCTCGGCAACCTGCGCCGCGAAAAGGTCCTCCACCGCGGTGATGACCGACTGCTCCAAGAGCTCCGACTGCCTCCACGCCCCGGGGCGCCCGAGGGCGGCGACCGCGGCACCCGCCGCGGTGGCCGCGGCCAGCGCGGCCAGCGGCACGGCGGCTCGGTAGAGCAGGGCCCGCCGCGAGCCGGCGCGCACCCCGCCCTCCTGCGCCTCGGGCGCCGCCGAGCCGCACTCCGCCGCCTCGTCCTCGCCGCGCGCCAGCCTCTGGCGGTCGCACCTCCGCGCGGCCTGCGCGAGCGGGGCCCACATTGCGCCATGCAACACAGGCTCCATATCGCGGGGGGGAAAGGCGGGAGGCACCGGGACGAAAACGGCTTGAGCCAAAATGGCTACGGAAGCGCTCTTGGGCCGTCTTGGGCGCTTCTTGGGCCGTCTTGGGCCGTCTTGGGCGCCGTCTTGGCCGCTTCTTGGGCTGTCTTAGGCGCCTAAGACGGCCCAAGAAGCGCCCAAGAAGCGTTATCCGATGATGTCTCGAGCGAAACGCTGTTTTTAAGCCCCGAAGGCCGTCCTACTCGATAAAAAAACGAGGCGGCAGGGCAATTAGATCCAGGTCCGCGGATGCCAACCCCCTCGAACTCCCCCAAGTCCAATTTCTTCCGACTAACGGACCGCACGCTAACGCGCGCTTTCCGTCATCCGCCGCCCCCTGTTGATTCATCACAGAAGTGCCTGGCGTGCCGAACTATATGGGTTTTGATTTTGGTTCTTTTTCTAACCGAATTCCCCCTGGGGCTTCGGCCCGTCCCGCCGGCCACCCCGAAGACCCGGTTGCAAACGGTTTTCCTAGACGGCCAAGATGGCCTCCAAGACGGCTCAGATGGCCCCAAGATGCCTCCAAGACTGCCCAAGATGTACCCTAGACGGCCTGAGATAGCCTGAAGATGGCCCAAGACGGCCCAAGAAGCCCCCAAGAGGCCTCCAAGACGGCCCAAGAGGCCTCCCAGAGGTCCTCCAGGAAGACCCGAAGAGGCAAAATCAGTGATGTTCCTTAGGTTTTTGAAGGATTTTGGCATTTGCGCCTTCTCGGCTTTCCGACGGCCCCAGACGGCCCGAGAGACCCCCAAGATCGCCCCAAGATCGCCCAAGAGGCCTCCAAGATGGCTCCGTGACGGCCCAAGAGGCGCCCAAGACGGCCCCAAGAGGGCCCCAAGACGGCGCAAGAGGCCTCCAAGACGGCCCTGGAGCACCCCAAGTCGGCTCAGAAAGGCTCCCGACAGGGCTTCCGATGGCGTCAGACGGGCCAGGAGCCCACCAAGATGGCCGAAGGTGGCTCGCAGCTGGCCCAAAATGGCCCAAGAAGCCTCCAAGAGGAGGGCCTCCAGAAGGCCCGAAAAGGCCAAAAAGAGTGATGTTCCGTAGGTTTTTGAAGGATGTTGACATTTGCTTCGGTTGTTCGGCCTTCCGACGGTTCCGTGATGTTCCGTAGGTTTTTGAAGGTTGTTCGGCCTTCCGACGGCCCGATACGGCCCAAGAGCTCCCAAAGGTCGCCCAAGGATCGCCCAAGAGGCCTCCAAGATGGCCCCAAAACGGCCCAAGAGGCGCCCAAGACGGCCCCAAGAGGCCCCCAAGACGGCCCAAGAGGCCTCCAAGACGCCGAAGATGGCCTCCAAGACGGCCCACGAGCCCTCCAAGACGTCCTCCAAGAAGGCCCGAAAGGGTCAAAATGGCCTCCAGGCGGCCAAGATGACCTTCAAGATGCCCACGTGTTCCCCGAAGGCTTTCCAAACCGATTCGGGGAACACATGGTCCGATAGCTTGGCAGGTCTGGCCTCAACGTTCGGCCACATAGGCGCTTCCAAAAAGGCAGGGGGCGGCGGTGATTCGCCGTAGGCGTCTTCGATAAAGGCCTGTGGGAGCTCCTCGTTTCTCTGCGCTCTGCATGTGACTGGGGTGAAGGAAGGCGAGGGGGAGAGGGAGACGTGCCCGCCAGAACAGGCTCGGCCCGAAGCGGGGAGCGATGGGTCCATGCAGCGCGGCGGAGCCAGAGGGCCTGATGACTGAAGAGCTTGTAGTCGGGGTTGCCAGCGTCGTCGACGCACAGGTTGCCGTTGTCGTTCAAGGTCGCGTCGCCCTCGATGTGGGAGCAGAAGCAGAGCTTGTACGCTCCTCCACGAATACGCTAGGAGGCTGTGGTGCGCAACTGCAGATGACTGCGCAGATCCCTAGAGCGTCAGTGGAGAGAATAGCGCCAACAACCGTCGGCGTAAACGTAGCACTAGAAACCCGACTATGCTCCAGAAGCTGCAGTAAAATGAAACATGCCTTGATGTGTCAGGCTCGCCCAACAGGCAGCACCATAATCTAGTCTGGGCGCTGAACAATTATTCTGGACATCTGTGCGCGCATGCTGCTGGCGCTCGCCATGTATTACGACACCAGCGCGGTGGACACATGTGTTTCAACTCCGTGAGTGAGCGAGCTTGAATGATGAGCGCGCCCGTTGAAGCCTCAAATGAGACGGAAGGATAGGAAGACCATGTGCTCCATGCAACGCGGAGTAGCGTACTCAAGTCCGTCATCCGCTCCTCTCGCGGCGCGCTCGCCGGCTCTCTGAGAACCGCGATACCCCCCGAAGCATTGTCACAATTCATTCGCTAAAGTATCAAAGAGGGGCCTGCCGCTGCAGAACCGCTCGCAAAATCAAGATCGCGATGGGCACCCTTGCCCTTCCGGAACGAGCGCGTCACATAAGAATATTGGGCATGCCGCCACCAAAACAAAACATCACTCTCAAATTGCACTTGTGTGACCCGCTTCCAGTCCATCCATGAGGGATGAACCTGGCACAATCTGAAATTGGAGATGTGTCGTCGTACGAGGGGCGCATTAACAAAAGCAAGCTAGAGGCAAGCTAGAACAGAGGCCGAAAGACAATCCAAATATACAACAGGGCAAGGTCTCGAGCATAGCAAGCTGTACACAACGAAAGGGCAAGCTCAAACGCATCACAAGAATGGCAAAGAACAACATTCAAGTCTAATTCAACGCGAAGCCTGGAGCCAACAAGCAGAACACACATGGCGCATAACAGGTAAGCCGTATGGCAAGGTAACGGCGAGCTGATTGCAATGCACATGTTCACCAAACGCGTGCGAATGGCGAGCTGGAGGTCACCTGCGTCCTGTTAAGCCAGAGGCAGGCAGACGTTGGCAATACATTCAATTATAAGTTGAAAACAAGCTCAAGGCAGTTGACTGGCAACTTCAAGAAAAACTGATATCAATCGAAAGGCACAAGGAACTGATCAAGCGAGGTGTGCCACGGAGGAATCCGGGGGACGGCTGTGGGGGAACTGCACACCAGTACAACCACTCAGGTAGGTAAACACCAATAGCGAACACCCCATACCGGGTAAGAGCGCTGGTTCGAGTGGCCTCGTGTCCTGGGTAAGGTCGTTTAGTGACTCGCATAGCCTGCACATGCACCATGCTGGGGGAGGATAACCTTACGCACGCACGCACGCACGGGGGAGGAGGAGGAGGAGCTGCAGCGGCAGCAGCAAATTGGGGGAAGATCAGGACGCGGACAAGGAGCATTAAGACAACTGCGTCCTCGCCGCGTGGCTGGGCTTCGATGCTTCGGCGTTGAAGTATTAGATGTTGTCTCGGAGTGTCCCTGACAAAGGTTCGACATTTCCTTGCACGGACAACACGTAGCAGCAGGTGGTCACGAAGAACGCCAGCCGGCCTCGGGCCATTCCCAGGTGGCCCGAGGCAAGGGCCGCACGGACTCCTTACCTTCTCTCCTCCCTTGCCCAAGGGATGTCCAGGGCGGCGTGGCTATTTCCAGGGACCGTCCTGGAACGGACGGCCAAGCACGCACACACACACCACCTCTCACGTGCAGCCCTCTGATCGGTGTCCGTTTGGACTCATCTTCCCTGGCCGGCTTGGGTGGGGCATCTCGGGTGGGGGCTTCTTCCTCACCCATGGGCTGTTCTTTTAGGGTGTGCCAACCGTCGTTCCTCCCGCTCTTCAGCATCGTGCGCTCGCAAATTCGGCGTCCGTTGGTGTGGTTTTTCTGCGCCCAGCCAAACGGGACATGACGTCTGGCAAACGCGTTCTACTTACACGCCTTTTTCTCCACGGTCTTCTTCATCTGAGTGATGTCGGCGTTACACCAAACAAACGGTTGGCGATCTCCTGGCAAGTACACAAGAAACTTCGCCGACTCCATGTTCGCCGCGCGCGCTCATCACCTCGACATCGGGGCGGGAGACACGCTCCGCCTCCGGCCAACCGCGCCAGCAATTTCGGACAGGACGGGGATCCGTGGAACTCCTCAGTACCTATAGGTTTTTGTTGGGGTGAGGGATAACGCGAAGGGTAGGCATGTGAATGGGAAAGAGAATGGAGCCAGAGAAGAAGAACAAGGAGGAATACAAGAGGGGTGGATAATCATGAGGATTGTGAGCAGGATGACGACAAGGAAAAGGAGGACATGAGAGGTGCAAAGATGATAGCCACCGCCCCGTCCTGGCGTACGAATGCCGTCGAAATGGAACTCCGCGCGGAATTTGGCCTCCGTGGGTGGACAGAACCATATTTGGCGGATGCTGGAACCCCTGAACCAAGAATTGTTGACAGCTCATTTTGAAGGGGCCCACAAACACACAAATAAATACACACAAATAAAACTATCCCCCATATTTTCCCATATTTTCTGGGTTTTGTCTTCCCCACCACTTCCCATATTTTTGCATATTTTCCTGGGAGTCGACGATTAATTGTGTCTGTGTGTTTCTTTCCCTCCTGACATTTGGGGGCCGCACCTTTTACTTCCGGCGGATTCAACGCACGCCTTCGGCCGGCCTCCGCTGTGGCGGGCCCGCCCCCGATTTTACGTGCGACGACGTCCGCCAACCTTCCGCCGAGGAAGCGATGCCCACTTTAGGGCGACGATATCTATACATATCCACTGCTCCTGGCCAGACCAATCCTGGGCCCAAGAGCTGTGTATACGCCCTCCTGGCTTGGCCAGGGAGGCATATACACCGCTCCTGGGCCCAGGATGGGCCTGGCCAAGAGCAGTGGATATGCATAGATCTCGTCGCCCTACACTCGTCGAGCCCTCGAAGTCGAGGCCCTGATGAGCGCCCGAGCCCGCGAAACGCCCTTCCGTGAAGACGCTTTGGGGGCGCGCCCCCGCGTGCGCACAGGTCCACAAGGGGGAGGAGGAGGCGGAGGAGGCGGAGGAGGCGGAGGAGGCGGCAGAACCCCCCCCCGAGGAGGTGAAGGGGACCCCACGGGCGGGGCCCGGGGGACACACGGATACCAGACTGGGATTCGTAGAGGCCATTTAGATGGGGTCCGAGAGATTTGGCCGGAGGATCGCGCCGCATCGCCAGTGCATCGACGATGTATCGGCGATGCATCGGCAATGCACCTGCGACGTCGGCGATGCATCGGCGACGTAGGCGTGGGGAAACACGGGCTCCACGTCGAGCCGCATCACCGATGCATCGGCGGTGCGGCGCGATCCCACGACCCCACCTGCTCGGACCCCACCCAGGAAGTCTAGAATTCGGCGATCTGCTTGGCTGGGTGGGGGTTGCATCGCCCCCCGATACCTCCGACGGCGTGTGCGGGTCCAGGGCGAAGGGCGCCACCGGCGTCGTCCAGTCGGGCCTGCGCCACCCGCCCCCCCCCCACGGCACCCTTGGCCGAAGAAGACGCCCGGGCAGCGCCAGAGGCCGGGGGGGAGCAGGAGAAGTAAGGGGGGGCGGGGGAGGAAGAGGAGGAGGGGGACGGCCAGGAGGAGCAGGAGGAAGAGGAGCGGGAGCATGGGAAGGAGATGGAGAGAGAGAGAGAGAGAGAGCGAGAGAGAGCGAGAGAGAGGTGTGAGGGGACTTGCCATCGCTCGGGCGTCCCTTCCCCATGCATGTGTCGGTGTCGCAGAATGCTCCGGGCTTCTCCTCGATGGTCCTCACCGAGAAATAATACCGAGAAATAATGCACACGTCCGAGCGATGCCCAAAGGAAAGCTTCCTTGCCTCTTTCTCTTGCGCCACCCGCGTTATACAGCTCAGCGGTCGACTACGTCTGGCACTCGTTGAGAAACACTTTTTGCATGTATTAATTGTCTTGACAGTGTCCGTGCTCGTGATTGGGTTTTCGCCGCTGACTACCCCCACTGGCGCAGCGCAGACAAACATGCGTGCGAGACTGCGTGTGGAACAGAGATCGTGTCAGCGTGTGTGTGTGTGTGTGTGCATGTGCCTGTCTATGTGTATGTGTAAATAGATGTGTATGTGTATGTGTGTGTGTTTACGTGTATGTGTGTATGTGTGTGAGCGTGAAGGCAAGTGTAAATGAACGTGTAAGTATGAGTATTAGTGTAAGTGTATGTGTACGTATAAGTATAATAATACACGTGTATATGTATGTGTATGTGCATGTATGTATGTGTATGTGTATTTGTATTTGCATGTGTATGTATATGAGTGTATAGGTATGTGTATGTGTATGTGTATGTGATTGTGTATGTTTGGATGTGTGTATATGTATATGTGCATGTGTGTATGCGCATGTGTTTGTGTATGTGTATGTGTATGCGCATGCATATGTGCATGTGTATGTGTATCTGTCTGTGTATGTGTATGTGTGTGGTCGTCGGGGGGGCGGATTGTGTGGTGGTGTGGGTGTTGATGTGGGTGTGGGTGGGGGGTGGGGGTGTTGGTGTGGGTGTGGGTGTGGGTGTGGGTGTAGGTGTGCGTGTGCGTGTGCGTGTGCGTGTGCGCGTGCGCGTGCGTGTGCGTGCGCGTGTGCGTCTGCGTGTGCGTGTGCGTGTGTGTATGCGGGCGTGCGTGTGCGTGTGCGTGTGCGTGTGCGTGTGCGTGTGCGTGTGCGTGTGCGTGTGCGTGTCCGCATGCGTGTGCATGTGCGTGCGTGTGCGCGTGCGTGTGTGTGTGTGTGCGTACGTGCTTGCGTGCGTGCGTGTATGTGTGTGTCTGTCTGTCTGACTGTCTGACTGTCTGTCTGTCTGTCGGTCTGTCTGTCAGTCTGTCTGTGTGTGCGCGTGAGTGTGCGTGTGTGTCTGTGCGTGCGTGCGTGCGTGCATGGCTGCTTGCGTGCATGCGTGGCTACATGCGTGCGTGCTTGCGTGGGTGCGTGCGTGCGTGTGCGTGCGTGTTTGTGTGTGTTTGTGCGTGTGGTGTGTGTATGTTATGTGTGTATGTGTGTGTGTCTGTCTGTCTGTATGTCTGTCTCTGTATGTGTGCGTGTGTGTGTGTGTGCGTGCGTCTGTGTGTGTGTGCGTGGGTGTGTGTGTGTGCCTGTGTGTGTGCGTGTGTGTGTGTGTGTGCGTGTGTGCGTGTGTGTGTGTGTGCGTGTGTGTGTGTGCGTGCGCGTGGGTGTGTGTGAGTGTGTGCGGGTGTGACTGTGTGTGTGTTGTGTGTCGTGTGTTGTCTGTGCTGTGTGTTGTGTGTTGAGTGTTGTGTGTTGTGTGTAGTGTATGTGGTGTGTGGTGCGTGTGGTGTGTTGTGTGTTGTGCGTGTTGTGTGGTGTGTGTTGTGTAGTGTGTGGTGTGTGTTGTGTGTTGTGTGTTGTGTGGTGTGTTGTGTGTTGTGTGGTGTGTGGTGTGCGTTGTGTGCTGTGCTGCGTGTTGTGTGTTGTGCGTTGTGTGTGTTGTGTGTTGTGGGTTGAGTGTTGTGTGGTGTGTGCTGTGTGGTGTGTGGTGTGTGCTGTGTGGTGTGTGGTGTGTGGTGTGTGGTGCGTGGTGTGTGGAGTGTGGTGTGTGGTGGGTGGTGTGTGGTGTGTGTTGTGGTGTGTGTGGTGTGTGGTGTGTGTTGTGTTGTGTGTGGTGTGTGGTGTGTGCTGTGTGCTGTATGGTGTGTGGTGTGTGGTGTGTGGTGCGTGGTGTGTGGTGTGTGGTGTGTGGTGGGTGGTGTGTGGTGTGTAGTGTGTGGTGTGTAGTGTGTGTGTGTGTGTTGTGTGCCGTGTGTTGTGTGTTGTGGGTTGTGGGTTGTGTGCTGTGGGTTGTGGGTTGTGCGTTCTGCGTGGCGTGCTGTGTGTTGTGTGTTGTGTTGTGTGTTGTGTGTTGTGAGTTGTGTGTTGTGTGGTGTGTGTTGTGTGATGTGTGTTGTGTGTTGTGTGTGTTGTGTGGTGTGTGTTGTGTGTTGTGTGTTGTGTGTTGTGTGTTGGGAATTTTGTGCTGTGTGTTGTGTGGTGTGTGTTGTTGTGTGTTGTTGTGTGTTGTGTGTTGTGTGATGTGTGTTGTGTGGTGTGCGGTGTGTGGTGTATGGTGTGTGGTCTGTCATGTGTGGTGTGTGGTGTGCCATGTGCCGTGTGGCGTGTGGCGTGTGGCGTGTGCCAAATGCCGTATGCCGTGTGCCCAATGCCGTGTGCCATGTGCCGTGTGCCGTGTGCCATGTGCCGTGTGCCGTGTGCCGTGTGCCGTGTGCCGTGTGCCGTGTGCCGTGTGCCGCTGGCCATGTGCCGTGTGCCGTGTGCCGTGCGGCGTGTGCCGTGCGGCGTGCGGCGTGCGGTGCGCGGCGCGCGGCGCGCGGCGTGCGGCGTGCGGCGTGCGGCGTGCGGCGTGCGGCGTGCGGCGTGCGGCGTGCGCGTGCGCATGTGCGTGCCGCGTGCCGCGTGCCGCGTGCCGCGTGCCGCGTGCCGCGTGCCGCGTGCCGCGTGCCGCGTGCGCGCGTGCGCGCGTGCGCGCATGCGTGCGTGCGCGCGCGCGTGCGTGTGTGTGTGTGTGGTGTGCGTGTGTCCGTGTGTGTGTGAGGGGGGGGCGTGTGCGTGTGCGTGTGTGCGTGTGTGTGTGGTGTGTGTATGTGTGTGCGTGCGCGTGTGCGCGTGTGTGTGTGCGCGTGTGCGCGTGTGTGTGTGTGCGTGCGTGTGTGTGTGTGTGCGTGCGCGTGTGCGCGTGTGTGTGTGTGTGTGTGGGTGTGTGTGGGTGTGTGTGTGTGTGTGTGTGCGTGCGTGTGTGTGTGTGTGCGTGCGCGTGTGCGCGTGTGTGTGTGTGTGTGTGGGTGTGTGTGGGTGTGTGTGTGTGTGTGTGTTGTTGTGCGCGTGCGTGTGCGCGTGCGTGCGTGTGTGTGTGTGGTTGTGAGTGTGTCTGTGTGGTTGTGTGTGCATGCTTGTGTGTGTTTGTCAGGTTGTGTTTGTGTGAGTTGTGTGTTTGTGTGGTTGTGCGTTTGTGTGTGAGTGCGTGTGGGTGGAGGAGTGGGTGTGTATGTAAGTGAGTGTGTGTGAGTGTGGTTGAGTGTGTGTATGTGTTTATTTGTATATGTGTTTATGTGTGTGTGTCTGGGTTTGGGTCTCGGTCTGGGTCTGGGACTTGGTGTGGGCGTGGGTGTGGGTATGGGTGTGGCTGTGGGTGTGGGTGTGGGTGTGCGTGTGGGTGTGGGTGCTTGTGTTTGCGTGTGTGTGGGTGCGGGTGTGGGTGCGCGTGTGCATGTGCGTGTGCGTGTGCGTGTGCGTGTGCGTGTGCGTGTGCATGTGCGAGTGCGTGTGCGTGTGCGTGGGCGTGTGCGTGTGCGTGTACGTGTTCGTGTTCTCCGTACCGAATTCACCAACGGGGTGAGCACGCATCCGTCCGTCCGTATTTCATTACCCCAGTGCGACCCTACCTAGAAGTTGGAGCCCCTAGGAAAGCAGCATTAGTTGATGTGCTATTATATGCTATGGTATGCCATGCTATGCTGCGCTACGCTATGCTATGCTATGATATGCTGCGCTAGGCTATGATATGCTATGATATGCTATGCTAAGCTATGCTAAGCTATGATATAATATGATATGATATGTTATGCTAAGCTGCGCTATGCTATGATATGATATGATATGATATGATATGCTATGCTATGATATGTTGCGCAATGCTATGATATGCTACACTATGATATGAGATGATAGAAGTGGCTATGTTATGCTATGCTATGTTATGCTAATGCAGCGCTGCGCTACATGCTATGCTCTGCTACGCTATGCTATGCCGCGCGGTGCTATGCTGTGCTGTGCTGTGCTGCGCCATGCTATGCTATGCTATGCTATGCTATGCTGCGCTATGCTATGTTGTGTTGGGCGTTGCTATGATATACTGTGCTGCGCTATGCTGTGCTACACTCTGCTATGCTATGCTGTGTTCTGCTATGCTAAAGCTCGACGAAACTAAGATGAAGGTAAGCTAAGCTAAGATAAACCTGAGCTAAGATGAAGCTAAGCTAAGCTAAGATGAAATAAGCTAACCTAAGATGAGATAAGCAACGCTAGGCTAAGGGGACGTAACTGGGGGAACCACGGGGCGGATGCCGGGGGAACCGCCCGGGGCGAGGACCACTGCCTGGCCCTTTAAGCCAACACAGTAAGAACCCTTCTAGGCAGAGCCTAGGTAGGGAATTACATATTCCATTCCATACCTATACGACCACCCTGCGGGTGATAAGGAGGTGAGGGGGGAGGGGGAACCAACGTCTCACTCAATCGATCTCGCTATCGATCTCACATTCGATCTCATTATCGATATCACTATCGATCTCGCTATCGATCTCACTATCGATCTCACAATCGATCTCACAATCGATCTCACATTCGGCCTCACATTCGGTCTCACTGTCGATCTCACTATCGACCTGACAATCGATCTCACTGTCGATCTCACATTCGGTTTCACATTCGGTCTC